GCACTGTTTCTTTTTTCAAATCAAAAGTTTTCACTGTCCAAGTGCATTAAGTGAAATACAAACTGTGAGTCTGAGCGCTTTTCAGCATGCAACACACAAGGTCCCCTGGTTCACCGGTTTCGAAAAAACTTTGCCACGGTTTCAATTCACATAACTTCTTTCCAACTTTTTATGCTTTTTTTCAACTCCCCATTACGGATGTACACACCAGTTTTGGTGTGTACATCCGTAATGTGGAGTTATAAACATTATTGCATACATTAGTTACATTATTGCATACATTATTGCGTTCTCGTAAACAAGACATTTTTCGTTTCTACTGAAAGCGTATTGGAACTCAAAGTGGTTCTTCTACATTGAAAGGGCTCGGCTAGGCAGTGTAATGTGCTGATCGGACGTGTATAGAGATGTGGAGGTAGACTTATGGGGGAGGATTAAAATGGGGGAGAGAGGAGATGAACTCAAACAATCGCCGGGGGCAGGCGGGCACCGGAAAATACGCGTTGCTGGATTTCGCATCCCGCTCGCAAATTCCAAGAAAATAGTTAGCGAGTCTCTGAGAGACCGCCTGTTGAATGTTTTTTCGCTCTTATTTTTTGCAGATATATTGCTGAATCTCTGAGGAATCGAGAATTCAGCAAGCGACGTTCCGAAAAGTCCTGATTGCCTCTTAAAAAATCCGCGAGCGGGATTCAAGAAATCAGTCATCTATTTTTCCGGTGCCCGCCTGTCCCCGGCGATTGTCTGAGAAGGTAGTTTAGTATGACAAGTGACAATTTCGTTTGGGGAAGTTTCCGCTTGGGTAAGGGAGTGGGGAGGTTGAGCAACGAAATTTTGTCGGTCGATGATCACAAGTTGCCCAGCTTTTCGAAATTTACGCGACTAATTTGAGTTATTTCTGTAGCAATTTTACAATGACCCTTGCGAGAACGATCTTCTCTGCTTTTTACTCACAAAACAATTTTTCCTTTCAGCATGTGCTAGTCCCGTCGAGCCCTGCTTCATTCATCTTGTGGTAAATATAAAATACTAGGTCAATTTCATGTTAGGACTTCAAAAACAACATGAACAATCTTCTCTTCAACAACACATTGGCAGTGATTTATGGGATTTCTTCCGTTATGCTAGCCGAATAAGTATTTATGAGAGAAATCAAGGCAAAAAAATTATTAGCTGTAAAATATGCGAACGTTTTCGAGGAGACATACTGCATTGTCTTAACAAGAAATTTATTTCGCTGCGCCTGTTTGAGGCTTCCGCCATCGGTGTTCGTAGACGAAAGCTTAGTTTTCTCTACTTTTATTGACGAATGTTCTGAACTAAAAGCATAATTTTGGAATTAATTACTTGGTTTCTTATTTGCCCCTCATTGTTCGGCAGTCATATTCGTTCCAGAAGTTTTTTTTTGTACTTTCGATTAACAGGTTGGCTTATGAACTTTCGGTCGTTTTTGGCTAACACTGGAAGAGTAATCTAAAGAAAAGAATCAGGCGGTCAACTTTTGAGCATAGTTTTTTGATGGCGAAATGGTGCAGAAAAGCGGAAATACCAGATTTTACCCAATTTTTGAGAAATTGTTCAAGAAAACAGACTAGAATTGGATTCACAATGTGCAAATGGTACGCGCTCAGGCAACTTTGATATTTGCAACACTAACATGGTTAGAGATGCTCAAAACAATATTGGCTTCCGCCCACAATATCAAGAAATTTGGGCAAACTTTTGGCTGCAGAATGTCGCAAATGCAGGCATACTTTTTATTGTAGTTTGCTCTATATCAAAGCTTGCAATCCGCCTACCGATACTCACCAGCGCATTAGCATTAGCTACAGCCTAAAAATAGAATCCAACAATAAGAAAATGTGATTTCCTAAATTGTTAGCTGAACAAGGGCATAAATGTCATTTGCTCATAATGGCAAAGTTCTTTGATTTGTGAGAATATAGGTTTGAAAATGCCTTCCTACAAAAAATCTTGGTTTACTAAGAGCTACCCAGATTCTTTATCTTTTTGGTTGAGCAATACATGAAATTATTGTCCAATAGTTTTATTGACTTCACGGCTAACGTTTCGGCAATCGCCATCGTCAGAGCTTTTAAGGGCAATCTGTTTTGCAACCTATCCGCTTAAGTACCTCTACAGCCGTGCAGACAAAAGGATATGTTCCTCGATTAGAATCGTAGCGAACGGGCAGTTTTGCCTGTATATTCTTCGCTGCAAATCGAACATACAAAGAGATAGATGGCACTACTGCTTTGCAATCCCCTTCTCTGGACATTACTGGCTGTGCTTCTCTTCCTTGTCCTCAGGGCAGGAGAATAGTTTGAAGTTGGGCAGATGCGGTCGTAATTATGAATGCGAACTAAGATAGACTTTAGAATGCGAACTAAGATAGACTTTAGATTGTTCGGTAATCCTGCTCTTTTTTGAACTTTGTCGCAGGTGCTGCACTTACATCTTCAGGGATAAATGGGATGCAAATATGACTTTCGTGCTTCTACCTAAGGACAATTCCTCTCATTCCTTCTTGTTATCCTACATGCTGTTCAAATCCTTGAAAACTGCGATGCTACGGGCAAGCGCTACAGATTCTTTTCGCTTTGGGTCCACTGCAGACTTGAAATGCTGTTCGGAACATATTTCTTATAGTTTATCTCCTCATTCATCGTGGATGTGTCGAAAGAGAGTAGAGTAGATTATTCTAGCTTGACGGTTTCCGGTACCATTTTATTATGTAGGCTAGAAGAGACGTTAACTTGCACCTCCAAAAATGGTAACCATTTATGGCCTCTCTCGCTAGACGTATTTATTAAGAATGTGTTTGGTTGTTTGTACGCTGTCAATATCTGCTTGTGGCGCAGGTTATGAAAAGTCGTCAATATAACGACTATAGCAAAGGGCGGCTATTCAGATTGTTACAGATCTGATATGCATGTCTAACGAAATCACTCATTAGTCAAAACCTAAACAAAACCTTAATCCAATAATTCTCACTTAGTAGAAAAGATGATATTATTCGCTACCCGAATGATGCACACAGAAGCATTGAAATCTGACGAAATGGGAGTAGGAGAGGAAATTTCCTATCATTATGGGTTGTTCACCTAAAGAACGTTGTTAAAGTCTATGCTTGTTGTCGTTTGCCTCATTTGTTTCGTAACTGCTTACTTTTTCGCATGTACTATTCATTTTTCCTATCTCGTAGCTGATAACAGCAAAGAGAAAGATTTTGCACAGAGGATTGAGATAAGGCTAACACGCATTTTAATCCGTGATTTCTGTTTTCTTTCATTTTTACAAAGTTGAGCTCAAAATGAGTGTGCCTGTGGAAGACAGTGAAGGATAGCCGTGATTTACCCTTACCTTGGCTCAGTTCTCGAACAATAAAGTACATCAATCTCGCTTGATGTTGGTAAAAGAAAGCTCATGTGTTTCCAGAACCTCTGTAGGGCGATAATGCATAAGGACTTCGTGCAATTTTATTCACTCCTCCCAGTGCAATAAAACTTATTAACTTAATAAAGCATTTATGCTACTGATACATTTTACTGATACATACATACATACATTCGAGCGGACACAATTTGTCATAGACTAGAGAAAATCGGCTTTGATTTTGTATTTTATGAAAACTTGGTCACTATACATGTATCGAATAAGATAGAAAGGATATCTCCGCATGGCATCAGATACAAAACGTCAGTTAAAGTAAATACAGCTTTGATTTCTCATCAGCCATATTGCAGCTGTATACGTTTAACCTTGAGCTTGATTCTCACATGCTTCTTACAAATATTCAGCTTTAGATGGAGATAAGACGAAGATTTGTAATTTGATAGCCAAAGCAAAACGTTACTTATGCGGAAAAACATTTTTAGTTTGCTTTCCTTTTCGCACAATCATGACGCACGCTGAGCATAACATCAATCCATATATTAGGTCATTCCGAAAGTAATTTCGCTTTTTTCAAACGGGCACCACATGTGACGGAACAAAGATTTCTAAGAGATCTTGGAAGCATTCGATGCAGAATTTTATTCTCTTTCTAATGTTTATCAAACTGTCGCAAAACAGTCAATGAGCTTTCAGAAAATAGCCAAAACCTGCAACCCATGCTTTTTGAGATGGTCAAGTTTTATGATTTTTTAAAACTTTCATATCAATCCTCTGAAGGATTGCAAGTAACGATTCGATAGAGTAAACCTTATAGAATACAGTACTACTTTTTTCTCCTTTCCATAGCTAGTCATACATTTTTAACAGAATTTTAACTGATGCTACCAATTTCCATACATGGGCAGCTAAATCCTCGTACAACATCAAAAGAGGAGCAGCTTGCGCACTATTCGATGTAGCATTTTCTCCTCTTTCTAACAGGTGTTTTTTGCTTTCGATTCGTTTAGTTTGCGGGGATGAAATCATCATTATTCATTTCTTTAACGAGCCCCAGGCTGTACCCAAAAAACTCGAAACTTGATATTTCGAACCCGTAAACCCTCACATGCTTTGTAAAATTTATGCTAACTCATAGTACTGGCTTGGTAGTCTCAAATTCCGAAGAATTATGATGTTTGTTGCCATTGTGGCTGAGGTGGGCCTGCCAAAATCCGATGGTTCTGTTAAAAAATCTTTTAAAAAATTACGGCTAGATACGAGGAAGAGAAAAAAGTAGTGCTGTATTCTATAAGGTTTACTCTATGGAATAGTTACTTGCAATCCTTTTGAGGATTGATATAAAAGTTTTAAAAAATCATAAAACTTGATTATCTCAAAAAGCATGGGTTGCAGGTTTTGGTGATTTTCTGAAAGCTCATTGACTGTTTTGCGACAATTTCATAAATATTAGAAAGAGAATGAAATTCTGCATCGAATGCTCCCAAGCTCTCTTAGAAATCTTTGTTCCGTCACATGTGGTGCCCTTTTGAAAAAAGCGAAATTACTTTCGGAATGACCTAATACATCATGAATTTTACATTTCTTTTAGCAGCTGCTTGGTCGATTTTGAAACCAGTCCAGAATATGCGAGTTCTGCCAAACTGTACTGGGCTGTTGGGCTGTTTCCAAGTGAGTAATTCTATACTACTTGGCTTGGGAAGTACAGTAGATTTTCAATCTCCTACAAATGTTAATTCTTGGGAAATATTAAGTTTAGCTTTCTTTCCTCTGTTTTTCAAATTAAATCCGATCTTTCTCAAAGATTAGCTCTTGTAAATGGTTGATCTACGGCTATACGTACCGAGCCAAGTTGGGTGGAATTACTGCGGTGGGAAAAGCCCAGCATAATGGCGAAAGCATGAAAATTCAGAATTCAATTTCTAGCCAAAAAAATCACAACGACTGTGCATACGAACGGTTTGACGAGAGATGTATATTGGTGAGCAAGTTGGGGGTTCAGAGAACTTTTTGGACGGAAATACAATTTTCTTTGATATTCATGTCATTCAAAGCTTCTTAGATTCCGCTTTCGAACTTCACATGGTTCAGACTCGGTGCAAAAGCAGCAATGCCACTTTGTAGAGCTTGCTTTGCTCTATCAAATGGTGCCCCAAACGCACGGTTTGCCTTGTTGCGCTGCCATGAAAGGAAATAAGAAACAACATTATTTTTTTTCCAACCTAGTATACGTTATCGACACTACATTTGTTGAACCGTTCTTTCATGCCGAATGACAGTAAGCGTTCACTGCTATCGCAGAGACAAAATCATAATTCATTTGGATTCTTGAGTGAAATCAGCTTAAATTTACAAAACCATTAATCAATAATTTATTGCTAGCGGATTCTTCTATCTTCCTATTGCCCCATGCTTGGTCTGAAATAGCAACTAGCGAGATGTCTGTAGAACTGTTTATTTGAGTAGTCAAACGTGGGGAAATATTATCCCAATTTATGGCTTTTTCACATGCTTGCTTGACTGGAAATTTTTGTTTTCGTATGTAATATATGTTCAGCAGATTGATAGGTATCTGTTTGTGCATACGCACTTCACATAGCGACGAGTTTCGTTGTTTTGACTAATTTTGTCTGATTTGCATGAATAACTATTCTCTTGGCAGTGATGCTGTTTTGCTGCTTAAAACTGCTTCAAACTTTGCATGGAAGTAGTAGGCAATCATTTTGATAAATATTTAGTTGTTAAATTATTACTAATCTGTTTTGTTTTTTTTCTGTTTAACTTTGCTACGTAAACAGTATGGAAATTTGGAATTGTAATATATTTATTTTGACCACCAAAAGCTCAAAATAAGGAGGAAGTCCAATTTTATGACAGCTTTCTCTTTAGTCTGCATTCAGTTAAATCTCTTCAATAGATTTCCTGAAATTTCGCTTAAATTTTCGAACAACAACTATAGTGAAAGCTACGTCATCGAAGCACAGGATGAGATAATATTATTATATACATTGCCAGACGCTTAGTGTCTTTGACGAGGACTTTTTTCTCTCGCTCACTTTCTCTTGCCACATCCAATTTTGATGCTTGAGTATCATAAACTTCCCTACGCCATTTCACTTTATCCATGAAAAAGCATGCCTTTCTTTGCTTTTTTTTCTATTAGTTAGAAATATCTACTGACATGGATTGCAATCCGCTTTGGACCTCTTTATAACAAGAACATCACGCATTCTACATGCGTTCTTTAAGCTTACTGTACATCCATATGTTCAAGATGCATTCAGTTTTAGTGCTCGATGAAGGCAATCGCTCGTGCTGCTGTTGCCATTTTTGCTTTATTTGCTTCTACCATAAACATCTACATGTTAGTCCGTATATACGAAAGCCAAGCAAGAGATTTACGGGCACTAACCTCGGTAGATTACGTGCAGCTGGTAAGGTGATTACAAGTGCAATGTTCTTTTTCTTTGAAAATGTCAAGTTTAGCATGACAATTTGGTAACCCTCGACCAAGCGGAGCTGTTGTCCGAAGGTGGTCAGCTTCGACGCAGTAGAAATATAACTCAGGTAAACTTTTAGATAATCATTTTATATATAAAGAATGCCTTTTTGGTGTGTGTGTGTGTGTGTGTGTGTGTGTGTGTGTGTGTGTGTGTGTGTGTGTGTGTGTGTGTGTGTGTGTGTGTGTATGTATGTATGTATGTGTGTATGTATGTATGTGTGTTCGAATAAATTTTTGTTTCTGAAAAGATCCGGGCAAAACTTGGCACTCACACACTACGGGGGGGGGGGGGGGAGCAGATGTCATAGGCCAATTCTCCTTATCGGTCAACATCGATTTTATCGATTTTTTGCAAAGTTTGACCTACGGGGCTGGTAACTGGCATAGGGGGGTAGTCGAGCATGGTAATTATAAATACAACATTACTTTTTAATCATCCATTAATTTTTTTCGATTTTTTCAATTTTTTGCAAAGTTAACCAGGGCTGAGAATTGGCAGGGGAGAGTGAGCTAAGTGAGCATGCTGACTACTAACACAGAGGGAATAGGGAATTGGCTTGCAGAAGTGGGCACAGGGGAAGTACAGGGATTTGGATGAGACCTTTATCGTGGTGTTTTGACAGGGCCGGGCGGAACTGGATAAGCCATTTTGTACAATCTGAATTCAGGAAAATTTTGATGATCGCTTACAGCAATGAGATCTCTTACATTGATAACTGGGCGTACTTAATGAAACCTCAATAAGTAAAGAGATTATCTTTTTAGGAAACAATGCCGTGGTCTGGACTGCTCGACTTTTTTCCAGATTTAGCCGGTACACCTTCTAAGACTCTGGAACCTATACTTTTGACCCCACGTAGTCGCGTCCGAAAAAAATTAGTAAGTAGATATGTGCTCTGACCAGGCGCAGGAAATTTGTTTAGATAATTGGAATCCCAGTGGCCGAAAGGAACAAAGACTATAGCATCTTTACTCTTACATCATTATTCAGCAAACTTGATGAAAAATACAAGTGTGTGTTTTACTTTGTCCTTAATCTTAGACTTGTATTTTAAAGTATCATTTCAGAAAGGATATTGTATTTTTGGTTATGTTCGCTACTGCCAATCAACAATTCGTTGAAAGCCGTACGGAAGCGATTCGTGCGAATTTCACAAAAGAAATCGACGATGAACTTCTTGAGGTAAGCAATTCAAACTGTGCTTTTCGCTTAAAGGCAGTGGACCGGGAAAATCGAATTTCTGATATTTTTGAATCCCAAAGTAAGGGACTCCCAACTAAGCATATTACTAGGTGCGCCCTCCCGTAAACCCTCTAGCCCCCGCCAATCCCGCACCGATCCTGATCCTGATCAGGATCGGTGCGGGATTGGCTGAGATCCCAGCCCTCACCCCGTCTCCAGCCCTCAGCCCGCCTCCTCGGGGACGTCTTCCTTTAAGCGAATACACGTCCTACCTGTCAAGATCGTTGGCTGGCGCATCGTTGCAATCCTAAAATATCAAGCGGCGAATTTTTGCCCCCGTCCTTCCAAGCGACGCGGTCGGGCGGCGAAGGACAACTCAGCTCGTCCTCGCTGCGCCCGCGGGGGCTATCCGAAAACGGGGTTTTCATCATTCTCTCATCAAATGAAGTTTATAATGGAATCCACGGGTCGGGAAACCCTAGAAAATGCGAAAACCCCGAATTCGGATTTTTCCCGGTCCACTGCCTTATGATCAGGAGAATGAAACACAAACTCTTTGGAAAGTCAGTACATTTGCCACATAACTCACTTTGTAGCACAGATTGTCAAAACTAGCAAGGATTGCTTCTGTAGTCGAAATGGCCATTAGGTGCGAAATATATGTTGCTGAACACAGTTATTAATGCTAGTGACTGCAATCCCTATCTACAAAACGCTTTTTTAAAAATCCACAAGTTTGACCATGTTAACTCAACACTTTGCAAGAAACATTGCGGTACATATGGAATGGTGCAGCGCGAGTGTGGTTGTTTATTGCTCAGAGAGTCGCAAGTTCGAACCCTACAAGCTGCGCTTTTGCATTTTTGTATCTGCGGCCACAGTCTTTGAAAAAGCGTTCCGTAGAAAAGGACTGCAGTTTTGAGATTAGCGTTCGTTGCAAATTCCAAGATATATATATTTGATCTCAAACTGCCGTTTCGACTACAGGGGCTTTCCGCGTATGTTACTTCACTCAAAATGTTCGCTTCTGTAGGTGATTGCGGTTCCTCCACTTTGGTACACTACGGATATTGCTGCCGTCCCAGCGACATTCAACGATTCCACGAATAGAATGTTCTGGAGAACGAAGCAAAACATCGGTTAGTGTCGCTACATTCTGTAAAATAGGCTATGAAAGTCGGAATCAAGTCTATTTTGAAAGGCACTCGTTTTCAGATTATATCTACATTATGACGTATGCTACGCCGAGATGTGAATACTATATGCAGTTAGAAGACGACGTAGAAGCTGCTGCAGCTTACGCGTAAGCATCAAAGCATTTTCTGATCATAAGTTATTGCTTATGCTAATAAAGTAGTAGCTGTTTTGGAATATAAAAAAAAGACCGAAAATTGTTTTGGATCTGAGAAATAGCGGTTTAAAAACCATTGAAGTAAATATAAGATCGAAACAAATTTTTTTAAACTTTCTTCGTCTACCTTCGAAAAATTTCAAAAACTTCGAAAAAGCTCTGTAATTAGCACACGTAATGATGGGATAAAGGGCTGTCCATTGATACAATTTTTATTTCTGAAAGCATGGATTACAATACTTATGAAGGCAGTTTTATGACGGCACTTCAACCTTCAATTTTTCTTTATCCATGGAAAAATTCACTTAAGTTATTCTTCTGTTTTTATATATTTCAATCTCCAGGAGTATCAGTATAGAACAGAAACGGTCTGGAAGTAGATGCTTTTTAACGGAGCAAGTTGAAACTCTGCCAAAAATAATAATTCGAAAAAGTTTCGAAAATGCAAATACTGATTTTTTGCGTGTGACTATGTACATGAAAAGCTACAACCCTCGACATAATTAGAAAGTGGAGACAAATCAACGAGAAAGTTGTGAAGATTTTAACTTTCAAGAACAAAGCCTATATCAAAATACATGTTAAGCCGTTTTGACCAGCTGCTTGTGTACTTCTTTGTGTTGATCAGGAGTGATAGATTTTGACTATTATACAAGGCATTGACTAGCTGTACAGAAAAATTATCAATGCAAATTCAGCAGAGTGATTTTCAATTACATTGCGATCAAGGAGGATACGGATTGGTTCGTAATGAGTTTCACCTCCATGGGTTTTATTGGAAAGCTGTTTAGGTAGTTCAATTTTACTTGCAACTTACACTTTCAAATTTTCAAAATTTTAGTGTCGACAATCTGAAATACGTGACCTATGCTATAGCTCTGTACTATCGCTTCAAACCTGTAGACTGGATTCTTGAAGATGTTTTGCGCAGTCGTTATTGTAGCTTGGACAAAAGCTTTAAGGATTGCGTGCAGGTTTGATGGGAATAATCATTTTTAGAGACCTTTGAAATGTAAATTTAAGATGATTTCTTCACATGCGATAAACTCTGGAGCTTCGCAGTTTCAACATGTTGGCAAAGTATCATCTTTGAGCGGAAAAGTTCAGAAAATCCGCGACTCGAATTTCAATAAGGGTTTAGCCCGAGTAAGAAGGTTTTTTCTCTAAGTTCTTGCGCGTACCTAAGCTGGCAGGAAGGACTTTAGGGTAAGCGCCCAAATCCACCTGCCGTAGTCAAGACGTCAATGAAAGCAACGGGACGTCATGACGCTCAGCGTGGTTATAATCTCAATTTTGCTATGTGGTTTACTGACCCAAATGAAGGATCCTATATTTCTATAGTTTTTGAGAAACCGGTCAACGTTACAGGTAGGCGCATCTTTTATGGAAAAAAGTGACGAACACATTTTTCTAGGCATCATGTTTCTCAGTGGCGTACCTCCAGCTCCTGAGGATAAGCTTGGACCAGAAACCATTGTCATTGCTAATAGCGGAAAACAGGAAATAAATCTGGGACGATTTTCTCCCGATGGCGATTTCCTCTTCCGATCCAGGGGACTAAACATCAGCGAATTGTCGATAAATATAACGAGCAATATTAGACATTGGGTTGTCATTGATCATATCATAATAGATACTATCCCCGAATCTAATTCCACCGTCACAAAGGAGTAGCATATGTGTGCACAATTGTGAAGTTCAAACGGGTTTTGTCTGTGATTCGCATCATGTTGTTACGGTTACTGATGATTTCTTAAATATCTATAGCATTTTGTTGAAAGTTTTTTTTATTATGAATATAAACATTCTAACAAACATGTTGTAAAATGAATATATTGTTAAAAGCCTTGAACAGGTTTTATAAATAACTGCCTCTCTAGAGATTTTGAATTTTGTGAGATGTTATTTCAGTTACATTTGATTGAGCATAGACTTTCACACAGCATCGTTTGCAAACCTTGCACAAGAAATAAAACGTCATTCTGATAAAGCAACGTTGGAAGGGACTCGCATTTTGTTAAATCACCACTATTCGATAGAGCAAAGCATGCTATACAAAATGAATACCGGATATCCGTGTAACTTATTTGCGTAAAGTTTCAAGCCAAAATTGAAACTTGTCAAGAATTAGATCTCGCCTTTACAAAAATCTTGCAAACCTATACTTCTCCAGTATGTAATATACGCATATATTATGCATTCATTTGGAGGCAGCGTTTAGACAGATCGTGGCACATGGGGATCGCATGTAGGAACTAATTTTGAGGGTCTGAGATATTTGTCACCAAACCAGACCATGCTATGTATTTTGCAGACGAATTGCGGTGGAGTGGGGAGGGGGGGGGGGTCAATTTAGAGCGAATGTATAATTATAGTATCTTAGCCGCAAGTGCACCATCTGCGCTATGTGTCTTAGTTAGGCAAAATCACTTTTCAGATGCGATCTTTATGTGTCCAGATCTGACTGGACGCTGCCTACGAAAGCGTAGCTTTACTTTTTCAAGATTATAGATTGAGATAAAAGTAATGGAAATAGAAATAGAAACAGAAATTGCCAAACACATTCGCTAGTTGTATTTACAAGCGTTTGAAAGTAGAACCATGAAACGCTTATCCTCCAAGTATATGCCGCCGCCACCGAAAACTATCATATTTAGCGAAATCCGAACAAGCAAGTACAGGATGTCTATACCCATTTTTTAATCGTGGACATCGTTCTTTTGAAGGAGTCTTTTGCCTACTCTACCATCTCGTAAAATTGCCTCAAATTCAAATTTTCACTAAGGAGCGAATCAGCGACTTCTCATTACTATATCCTTTGCTTCAACGAGAATGGCAGTTAGAAAGGAGTCATCGCGCCCGCGACGTGGTCTGTGTCTCTTCGCGATCATTCTCATAGGTCACGAAGCCCCGCCTTTCCTCCGCCAATCCAGTTGATTTAAGGGTTGAGATTACTGTGGAAACTTTGAGCTGGGTGCTAAGCCGTTTAAAGCCATATTTCGCCTCAAGAAGAAAGCTAAACAAGCTGAAAACTTTTACACTAAGCTACTCAGACCCACCAAATCTCAATGTAAAATTTGCATTTTACTGAAATACTCTCATAGTCATGTAAAAAATAGCAAAAATATGTATTTCCTCAGAAGTGTAGTTACACAGTTGAGAAAGCCTAAAAGATATGCAAAAACCTAGGCTAGGAAATCAGCATGCGTAGAACTCAATGAACAACTTTCAAGGTTTTTGCTGTATCTAAAAGTTCCTACCTCCCACAATAACAAAGAGCAATTGGTGACTCTCTTCATACTGTAAACCTGAGTTAAAGCCAATTTCAAAACTGGTAGATGGAGGAAAAAGATTCTTTGAGAAGAGAGATGTTAGCGATCAAATCAGACAGTGTCAATAATTTTGGCGTTTGTTACTTGACATTTCTATCTCGAAAAATATTAGGATGCTGCAAAAATAATGTCCATTTCGCAAAGTTCTACTTTGAAAATAATTTGTCCAGTGTTCATCTATACATATATAAAACTGAGAATTGGTAAATTGTTAGTTAATATGCTACTTGTAGAAATTTTGTGTGTACCAATCAGCGCCAAACTTTGCACACATAGGTTTTCGAAACCGGTCCACCCGTAGGCTACTTTTCGCAGCAGAATTTTCACTCTATCTATTGATTTATCGATTTTGAAGAAGAATGAACTTTTATCTTTCATATCAAACAGCTTCCAATTTTTGTGTAAACAATAGCGGTAAAACTCATTCTCATTCCACGATAAAAGGAGATGCGGTAAGTCAAGACGATGCGGTTAAGAAGAATCTGCCCTGTGCTAGAAGAATGGCAGAAGAACGCCAAAACGCAGATGAGGTGAAGTTTAAAACTGCGCCAATCTCTTTGTTGAGCCAGTTAAACCCACTGTGCGGGCGAAGCCGGGCATGCCAGCTAGTATTTCTTATACAATCAAGACCATCAGAAGCAGTAAGCCTTTCGTGACCTAGTGCGCATCTACTAATACTGATCTCCAGGAGATCTCATGCAGGAGTATATTTCCGTTAACAGCGTGTCGAAACCTCTCTAGATCATGTTTCAGCAGAAACTGTTAGGTTTGGAACGATCCGTAAATTTTTTCCCATGTACCGTACACCACCGCACACCTACGTAACCTTTACAGGAGTTTTCAGAATTTTAAAACTGCTGTATTTGTAGCTCACATGATATCCTAGACATTATCAAAGTTTGAGTGTACCAATTGCAAAATGAGAAAAGTTAAGGAGAAATTTTAAAACTAAGTTAACAACCTCATTGCTTTGGTAGAAGCTCACAAAACGAACAGGATTTCGAGCTGCAAAAACACATTCATCTCAAACTTTATTCAAGTTTGAGAAGTTTTTGGATATTGTTACGAATTGTATTGCAATAGGACTTTTCTTCTCAAACTTTTTTTTTACATTTCTTTGAGTTCAGTGAGACGCTTCTTTTCTAAATCATCTGTTTGAATCATTTTCATGACTTGTTTTGAGCAGAAAGTCGCCAACGTACTTTGAGTTACTTGAAGAACTGTTATTGGAAGACAATTCATGCGTGATAGTGTGACCCATCTGAGTGTCAAGAAAATGCCGAGCTTGTTTCAGCTCAGAGTTTCGCTTTTCAGTCGACCATTTGAGTTCATCACCCATTATGCGAACAATCTGAATATTGTACAAAGATTTATGGCATTCGATTAAAGCTTTGCGAGGAACAATAGCGCTGTCGTCCAAAAGTTCAAATGTTGCTCAGGGGTATGTTTTCGCTGTATCTTGATATTGGACAGAGAACGAGTAGGTTGTTAAACGTCGCGAGCGGACACTGCAATTATATGCGTAAAGGACCTTAGCCTGCACAGGGGCCTGTTGGCGCTATTCGTTTCTGTAGCTTTCATTACACGTGTATTGCGAAGAGTGTACGATATTTTTGATCTTTCTGTGCAAATTCAGCGCGATCTCACTCTCTTAAGCGAGCCCAATGTTTGCTGCACGCACCTCTGGAAGTGCTTCATGAGCCGCCTGTGTATCTAAAAATGCAAGCCTCATCCGTCTTGCGATCACATCCACTACTGTGCAAGCATATTCATTTATCGCACATAGTACCTGTAATATCCTAATGAGGCCACTTCTAAACATGGCTTACTCAGCTTCACACCTCAACATCTAAGAAAGGATGATTTGGATGAAGGCGCTTGGTAATCACGCGTCCATTTGAAGTTTCATCACACATTTTTGTTACTTCTACTGCTTGGTCACCGTATGTATGAGCTAGATGGTGCGCTATCTAGAAGTTAACCGATGAGCTATTTCGTCAAGTTTCCCTTTCAACTTACATCCATGCTGAGACCATGATCTTGAATCAGATGAATGTAAAGTAGGGGATCGTATTCGTGACCTCCCTCCAAGGTTAAGCCAGCAGTAACGCATTTAGTGTTCGGCTTAAGATGATGTACCTACAATGCAGGATTGCATATAGAAAATTATGTCTGGCAGCTTACTTTTACGCATGTATCTACGGTCTCCTCTGCCATGTGTCTATAAGTTGTCCATTTTCCTCCAGCGATTGTTACTAGTCCGGAATTGGAGACCTTGACATTAAGTAAAATGAAATTTATCAAAAGTCATCGTTTTTGAACTAAATAGCAAATGAGCTTCAGGATAGACATTCAGTTTACTCGAAGACGAGTAAACTACATCAGTGCTTTTATTAACGTACACCAGTTCGCATCTTACCTCAATGATGTGGTTTCTGGCCAAGCTTTTTGTATCTTTCTTGCTTGGATCTCGAACTAATGGACGCAAACCTGACCACACACTGCTGACATCTTGTCGGCGCATGGGCAAGGTTTTTGTAATAAACTTCTTCGCTTCCTTAAAAATTTCCTTCAGATTTTATGGTTATATTGCTATTACCGACTTTAAGAATATAGTCAACTTCCGAAGAAGTGGGGGCTGGAGATAATGTTACATCTGCGTGTTGGTCGGTTGTCCCGGCAAGAGTCATTCCTTGCCAAGGAAGCATAAAAAGCACTCTTCCATCGGAAGTGTCCGGATCAAGCATACCGGTTTTTGCAGGACTGAAATAAGGCTGCATGTAAAAGCACAATGTTCAAAAGAATAGCAGACCAAAAATATCCTGGCAAAATTATATGAGCTCCAGAGCTAGGCACGCAAATCGGGTCCACTTCGGGATCAGCCATTTGTCGGATATGGTCCGTTGAAGGTCCGGTAGCATTGACCACGCATCTTGCTCTAATGAGCCATTTATGTCCAGTCATCTGGCAATTAGGCACTCCATAACTAAGGCTTTTGAAAAATCTGACTTACTAGGTCTTTGACTTCTGCTCCGCACACTTTTCCCTCCTCATTTTTCATCAATCCTTCAACTTTAACATGATTTACACACTGGAATAGGCATGTCTATAATGATCCTTAACTCTGTCAGTCAACTCACTTTCGCTCCACGCCTTATCGCTGTTAAAATTATAGCCAAATTCATTCGCGCATCATTCATCGTCCCATCGTAGTAGACAAGTGCTCCTTTCAAAGAGCCTTTTTTCAACATAGGAAATCTCAAAATAGTTGAATATGCAATCTGCTGTTGAAACTCTGTAAGCTTTCCACCTCTCCAGGGCCTTCGTTTTGCTTATAAAAAATGAGTTTCGGAGAATCCGTCTACCAGAAATAGCATCGTACATCTTGATTCCGAACCAGTAATATGGTACTTGCCATAACCTGAAAATTCACTTTCCAAGCATTCGGCTTTTGATAAAAGAAGAGAAGCTATTGACAAATGTTGAAAATGCACTTCAAGGAAGTTTAACGGTAAACTACAATGCCCCACTTGAACCAAGATTTGAACAAGACAGGGCACGTGGTTGTCTTTCTCATATGGTTGCGTAAGCAAAAATGTTCCACATCACTGGCGCTCTACGTTTGGTGAAGAATGAGCGTTTGCTCAAAGTCGTTAATTAACAATTGACATAGCCCAATGCCTTCGGACTGTGAAACGCGTTTCGTTGAGTTTTTGCACTCATTTCTGGCGGTAAATGCAATGCTCTGCTGAAACTGGGCGAAAAAATTTGTAGCAGTTAAGACATAAAGAAGCAAACCACTTGGAATGCTAGCATTACAAGCGTGGATATTTGTTTACGAGAAGATTTGTTGCCCAATCTGAAAACCGCAAAGATACCAGTTTAATCGTCGAATCTACTAGCCTGTCCGAAGTTTATACCGAGGTTTCACTGTGGTAAGAAGTCATAACATCACATCTAGGATCCTGTGGAATCGCAGTAATGAAATGATGAGATCTATCTCCAGAACATGTCTACGGCGGAAGCATTATCGAAGGTTAGATTTAGCTTTCTGGGCTGCCTCATCAGTATTTATCATGGTAACATCAAGTTTCCTATGATTGTTGACTTGAGCACATCTTTTTCTCTACTTTTTATCTTCGTTGTAGCTGCTCAAACGATTGCGTGAAAATCTCGAAGTCTCAAAACGAATCACGAGACTCGACGCAGCCCTTAAAATCTCAATCTATACACCGCAGCTTAGGTCTTCTGACGGGCACGCAGCGGTCGGAAATTTTGAAAAGAATTTACCGAGAAAGTCGCAAATTTAACTGGCAAGAGCCTTATTGTACGCTACAGTTTTTACAAGCTTAGCTGAAGCTCAACTTGCGTGAGGAATGCCGTAGTGGTGGGATCTAATGGATTAGGGGAAATTGCCTTTTCGCACAAAAACCCAACAGCTACCCTGCGTGACCTATCTTAACATGTCACGCACGTGGCAGATCTCTCCTTTCCCCTGCTTCGTTTGAGCTGACTTCATGCTGAGTAAATTTCGGCACAAACGCTTCCAGCAAACGCTCGAATTTCCGCTGTACTGAAACAGTTCCGCAACTTACGGTTTAGTGTGAACGCAGTTTTAGGCAAAAGCCATCGCAGGGTGCGTTTCCGACAGGGTCCAACAGCGAAATTGTTAGATCGTGCGAATCGGCCTAAACCCGGCATTGAGTATTGCTTCTTGGTTTATCACCGATAGAGTTTCTGCTTTTGTTGGAAAAACCTCCAAATGTCAAAGGCTTTATCGTCTCAGTTGTGGCTGGCGGATGAGCAAACGAGTTGCTCAAAATGGATTGGTTTTGGCCTAGACATCATGGTATAACAAAACAAAAAAGCCAAAGAATTGTCTCAAGCCCGGCAGCATGCTGATAGGGTCAGCCATTGGTTCATCAAGTGCAAGATAGATTACCAGATCTGACATTCAATGTGCTGTAACGTCAAGAAGAGCATGGAAGTCGGCGTTGGTGGAGACTGTTTTGACGTTGTGGGTGCAAAGCATAAATCAGTTTTATGACATTTGTCGTCTAGATATGTCGTTTCTCCTCAAAGCAAGTGAAGGTCTGAGCAGCTAGCATCTTCTGCTATCCGGTGCTTTAGGCCCTGGGCAGACTTCACGCGATTTGGTCGTCGCGACTGAATCGCGATGAGACAGCTGTTACAACATCATTCCATGCCGACCAGCTTGCATTTCGGTCGTGATACTTTTCCAGCCCGGAATTTTTGAATGTGAAATGAAAATGAATGGAAATCTTGGCGAGTAGATCGCGCCGATTAAGTCGCGTGAAGTTTGTCCGGGGCCTTAGGAGGATTTGACGTGAGGTTTTTTTCTATTCTTTTTATTAAACGAGTAACGGGATTTTCCTCCCACAGACCAGCGTATAGACCGTACTCTTGACTCGGTCCCTGAACCTGGAATGAAACGCTAGATCTGGCCCTATCCTTACACTTAAGCGGTGAAGTATAAGGCCGGGAACACCTCTTCACAAATGAGCAACCCTGCCAGAGTATAAATTCTGCCGTATATCATCAGTTCGACGTCTAGTGCCCCCCCCCCTACGCCACCTTGAAGCGAGAGCAGTATGGAGATAATGAATTGTAAAAGGACTGTACTTTTGGTCGTAGAACCTCTTCTACAACCTTGTAGGTGATTTCCAGTTCTAAATGAGTAACTTCTCAGCGGAGAATAGCAATCGGCCATGTTGCTTTTTCTAATGTGTTGCGCCTTCGCGGCGGCTGCTGGGCTGGCGGCTCACTTATTTTGTGGGCGTAACATCTTTGCTGGCGAGCATGCTTTGCTCTATGCAAATATTTCTGACGGCAGGGCAAAATTACTATAGTTGACTGCAGGGAATCGAACGGAGTGAAAGCCCGTGCGCGTCTCTGGCGGGCTAACATTGGCATTTGCGAGCATGAGTCATCACAGTGCTTGTACACGGCAGCCGCGTTGCAGGCACGCCCGCGAGCGTTCAGCCTACAGCGACCCGGGCGATTTCGTCCAGTCGAGTTTATTAACGTCCGCGTTCCACAGATGATTATTAGACACCTGATGGTAACATCTATACAAAGTCAGATGGAAATGCTCTGTCAATTGATTTTTCTGTTGTCAGATGTGACATAACCTACTTGTATATTGGTAGCAATATTGGCATTGGTTCACTCAAATGCGGTGCTATCTGTAGAAGGTTTGCACGTTCAAATAGTGCCTCCTAAAATAGATAGCTAATGCGTAATTCTTTTCTCTAGGTTTGGCAACCCTTACCTTGACCATGCGATATTGTTCTCTGTCAGCTTTCATTATAGCTGCTTGCAAGTATCTGACACCTCCGTGGATTAGTTTCGTGCTTCGAGATGATGTGCCAGAGGAGAAATCGTCCAACTCCACTAGAGCCGTCTTCATTCCTGTACCAAAATCAATATGCTTCTACATAGTGTATAGCATAATAGTGAAGACCTCTGGTCTGTGAATCTAATGCTATACCGGCGCCTGTGGCTCCACCTCCAATGACCAGCATATCGAACTGCATGCCGGACTGAAGCACTTAGAGGTTCAATGCTGAGAACAAGGCTAGACGAGAGTAGTCTTACTCTAAGGTCGTCGATGAGCTTCTCTCTTGACGGCAAAGGTTCTGAGGATTTTCGGTTCATACCAGACATTTTATCCGCATGTACAGTGCGGAAGTACCGTTTCTGCAACACTTCAAGTCATAGCTTCCCTCATCTTCGAAAACGCAGACTCGCCATTTGCCATTCGAAGCGTTTTTCATTGGCGATATCAAGTGCATAGAGAGCTGCTGTGGATGCGCAGACCACAGCTCCAGCCTTCGCTAGTCGGGATGCAAACATTTCAAAAAATGAGATCAGCTGCAGCTCAAGTCATTTATATATGCGGCATTACGACAAAACAATGTGAATAAACATTTCTTCCATTTTGTCCGACAAAGATGATAAGTCAGTCACTTCCTTAGCTACTTATGCAAATTCAGCATTCCCCTGAAGCGGTCACAAAGATTCGAGATCGCATTTCTTCAAAGGGAGACTAGTTGCATCTGGGAGGGGACGCAGGAGTTCCTAGCACCTCCATTCGCACTAGCAATCACACTCCAGAAGACTGTTCGCACCTTCGCGGAGGGGTAAACCCGCCCATCGCTTCACCCCTTTACTGGTTTCATTCGGAATCTGAGGGATGCGGGAATAGCATAGGCATGCAAGTGTAGTTCGTAAAAATCGTCCTTGCAATGCAAATCCTCGCTATTGCATTTCATAAGCAAAGGTACTTTGACGGCCCCGAAACGCCTTACAGATCTCAACTAACAAGGAAACGATACTTGGTGTCCGTGGCCTTTTGAGAGACAATGTATACTGCTACCGTCTTGGAACGCTGATTCCGAATCTGACTTCCGTTGCTGCTGATCGTTTCTCTGAAAGAAGTTATGAAGGATTTTCTCCTCAACAATTGCCCAAGGGAAATACGGTCGAGGATACCTAACTTTCAAAAGAAGCTTGATTGAGGCAATGCAAAACTGGAAAACACAAAAATACTCTAACCTAAACTCCCATTAAGTTGTGAGGCTATTGAACTAGCCACTACACCCCATCCTGGCGGCGGTTTTGGCATACTTACCATAATCCCTTGGCACGAAAATCCTTCATAACCTTCTTCTAAAAGACAATTAGCAAAAAAGGAAGTCAGATTCGGAATCAGCGCTCTAAGACGAGTGCAACGGTCTACATCTCATCTCGAAAGGCTACGGACACCAAGTATCGTTCCGTTGTAAGTTATATTTTTGGTACAAAGAAGGTAATGTTTAGCAAAGATATTTCACAGTTTTTGTCTTTACATTACCATAGAGTAAAGCTTGCCATATTAACGTAGGAGCATTGGTATGATTGTTCCGAGGATTTCCTGAGGATTACTATCGGCACTTTGATACTATTATATTTACGACTAAACTCAGAATTACGAGCTTCGAAATCCAGTCTTTGGAAGCTTGTTTCTCTAAGGATATCCAACGAAAATTTTAATCAGGCTAACTATCTTGAAGCACAAATCTCACCTCTAGAAGCCATGAACTGAGGATTGGATTTGAATAAGCTACTGCTTTGATCTACGCAAAACGAAACAATCTAATGAGTATAGTATGTTGGGTAAAATCGTCTTGGTATGCAGACTAAATCCACAAAATTTCAGCTGATATTTAGCTCACATTGTTTTTGCAAAAGTGGTTTCAAACCTCTCTAAAGAAGGACGCTTCTTATCATTCATTATTTTGCTTCAAAGCAGGTTCTGTAAATGATAGAGCAAACCAAGCTCTACAAGGTAGTATTTTGATTTGAATCAAATTTGAAATACGCGAAGTTGTAACCAAAAACCAGAATCCAACTGCCCGAAAAATTCGAAAAGAAAGTCGAAAATCCGTCAGAAAAAAGTTGGGACACCCGCAATCTGCTCGGTAGATACCCTTACAATCAGATGTACACAAGTACACTTATCTCGGCTGGAAATGTTGAAACGGAAGTTTCCTTGGTTCCCAGAGTGGTGCCCTTTCATGGTTAAAAGACGCTCAGAATAAATTTCTCCTTCCCATGCAAAAACATATTCCAAATAGTGAAACTCATAATTCCTAGTCTATCACTTTCCAGCCTTCATTATTTATCCAGAACATTTGAGAACTACTTTCAAACCTGCACAACTCGTAATCAGACTAGTTAGCGGGTGGAGAAATTGGGCGGAGCCGTCTAAGAAATGCGATGGCGCCTTGGAGGTGCCAAGTATTTCTACAAGGAAAGACGGCAAGACTTTGGGAACTCCTGGCCGCCTTCGCATCCACTGTCCTGGCCAGGCACGAAAGAAAACTCTAATATAGAGACCACAGGAATCCTTGTCTACCAATAAAAAAAGCTCAAATTCCAACTCTTTGATCTATAGATAAATCGGTTGATAATGCGCTTTTGATGGCGTTTCTTGAACTATTTTGATGATGCCGCAATTGGTAACTGAAAAATAGCATTGTTGAAAAAATAGTATCCATACATATAATCTATTCCTTGTTGAAAAATAGTTCACAGACATAACCTAGTCCTTTTCTTTGCATCTTCTTCTTCAAACTCAACTTGAATGATTCAAAAAAGTCGATCATTAGCGGAATTTTTTGCAAAAATGCAAAAGGCTAATAAGCGAGTTAAGAGTTGAAACCAGATGATGGGAGAAGTGTTCGCCTTTTTTAGGGCGTAATGAAAAAATGAAACGAGTCCTTCATCGCTACAGGACTAGAGCTTGGATGAAAAGTTGCCTGGATAACAGTATGCATGCATTTTCCACATGTGGGCACATTTTGTTGGTACTGGTATTCTTTCCAAACAAATATGACACTGAGAAATTATTTCGCGTCTCTAGCCAATATCATAATTTGTCTGCAGTATTTGTGGAAAAACTTTACGCAGCTCTTGTGAGCGTCATATTCGATCTGTGCAAACCCTCGAACTACAAAATTATGCCTTCAGTTTAGGTATTAGATTGTCCCAAAAGTAAACTCCATTTTCAAAATCTTGAGCTGTTTTCGTTTTTTTTTTGACAGATTTAGGATACCTCGGTAGAGAGGAGCAAGCTTTACAAAAAGACTACCGAAGATCCATCTAATGCAAAAGCCAGGTAAGATTTGGAGCCAAAAATCAAAATTTTTCAGCTACTCTAAAAATCGGATCTGCTTTCAGAAAATTCCTACGGGCTTCCAACTTGGTCTTCATATAATAGACACACAGTAGTACCCCACAATGCATTTGGTGGATTTTTTCCTGGGCTCGAAATTGAGAAATAAGGGTGGTCACAATGTGCCAAAATGCCACTTTTTTGGGTTTTTTTATGTAAAACTTGATATTTCTCGATTATAAGAGCACATGCAGAGGTGAAACTTTCAGTTTATACTTATGTTTCTAGTATACAATGGCATATGTGAGAGGGGCTGGGGGCGAAGTTTGCCATTTTTGGACTATCTTATTTTTCTCGCTTTCTGTGCGCGGAGAGAATCCAGTAAAAGCACATTTGAGTACTAATATGTGCCTACTGTATAATGACCAAGTCGGAGATCCGTAAGGTTCTTCTTCGCAAAAATCCGATTTTCAGGTGAAAAATTTTTTTTCGATTTTGACTTCGAACTTCGCATTGAAGGCTCTTAGGCAGACCTTTGGCAGTCATTTTCTAGAGCTTGATGTGCTCTATCAAATGATACCCTAAATAAACTAGGAAAATAAAAACAGGTTGAATTACTCAAAAGAGGAGTTTACTTTTAGGACAACCTACTTTGGAGTTCAATGGTAAAATTATGCCTTCAATCAAATGTGCTTTGAATTCAATGGTAAGTGAAAATGAGCTGACAGTTTTCAAAGTTAAGTACGTAGCCATTATATAGTTGCTTTCATGCAGTAGTTTATAATTATATTTATTTCAAATTTTGTAGAATTCTCAAACAATGTCCGGATTTCTTGATAGTTTCATGGTTACTTCTTGTAACCATAACCTCCGTAGCCGCCATATCCGCCATAGCCACCGTATCCATAACCACCGTAACCACCCCAACTACCATAATTGCCATGAGGACAAGGTGCATAAGTTGCACATCCACATCCGTAGTATCCTCCGTATCCACCGTACCCACCGTAGTATCCTGCAATGAATTTTTAAGATTTTGATTTATGCAAAGCGTTCCAAATATAGGCGCTTACCATAGCCGTAGTACTGTCTTTTTTGCCGAATTGCCCCACTGGCATCCACCGTGTCAAGGATTATCCAGGACACGGCCACCAAAAGAAAGAGAGACAGCAGAAGCCGCATCTGAAGTGATTCTATTAGTTTCCATAGATTGTTTTTGGAGCTATCTGATTTTATTCAAATAATTCTCAAAACTTCTTACAAAATAAACTATTCACTCACCATAATCGATTGATTTGTAGTGATCACAGCACAAAGCGAGCTTCAGGAACTGAGCCGGAAGCCTGTTCCAGATAGAATATTGACGGAAGCGACTTCGACTTATAGTACTCCATGTTTACTCAACTGGAATAATAAGAAGGTCAAATGTTAATACGGTGCTCCGCATATATCTCTGTTTGAGTACAGAGATCACGTTCTAAGTGGAGGCACATGCATAATAATGTGTTAAAAAGTAGCCAAATTTGTAGAAAAATTTGCTTGAGTATTAGAGTCTTATAGATAAGCACTTGGTTTCTAGGATTTTTACATAAGAACGGAGTTTTTGCAAAACTACAGAAACAGGCTTTTTGTACTTCTGTTTAGTATAAGCTGTTAACTAACTCTGATTTTTAAATGATAATCGATGTTTCCCGTCTAGCACTTCGCAGCACTGCTGATCCAACTTTGGCTCTAGCCTTTATCGTGCAACGTTTGTGCTTCAACTTTGAGAGCATTGTTCTCAAAAGCATTTAATTGTATCAAACAAATGACTTGTAACTTAACATTACCTAAGAGGGACCAAGTTCTATCCGAAGCAACGTGAAGCATTCAAAGTCAGGATTTAAGCGGACATACTCACAATATATTTGCGTTCACTATATACGTTCACGTTCACTGATATATTCACTCTTTATGGAATGATTCAGAATGGAAGATTAGTAATGTAACAATCACTTAAGCATTCAGATCGTTCATCAGTAGATCTTTGCACAATTTTGGGCTTAGAAGTGAATAAAAGTGACTTATAAAATAAAGTGACCCTTTCCTATCTTATTGTCTTAGCGCCCTGTCAAATCCCATCTGAGCTCAAGTCACTTCATGATCGAACATCTTCACATTCATAACTTGACTTATGAAGCCCTAACTTGCTTTGCCAACCTACCAATCTATTAGTGCGACATCGGTGTTGATTATGAAAAAAGTTTTGGAGCACCCTATTCGCTGCGCTAACCCTGTGTGCACGAATGAAGCAATACATAATGCGTGATGTCGTTCATATGTTTGATGTTATAATTTGAAATGATCTTTAGATCATTCAGAGATATCTGGAGTGCATTTGGATTATCCAAATTTTTATCATGAAATATTAGTGTTGCTGCGTTAGCAGGACGCAAAAATTCTACGGCAATTGTTTTCAGATTGTGTCACAAATATCGATATAATACGGAGATCAAGTTTGGCTCTCTGTTTATTGATTTGCGAAAAAACATTAGAATGTACATCATCTTCTTGCAAAGCCAATCCTCTGCAAACGTAGTACGGAAATGGATTCGTGTACTCTGCTGAACAAGAGCGAAGCTAGCAAAACCATTGATAGAAGAACAGTGTATTTGCACTCATACGTCTGCTAATTACGAAAAGTTCATCGAGATTTTTTTTCACTTTTGGGCAGCTGAAAACAAGCTGCCGTTAATTTCATCATTTCTATGCAAGGAAAAAGGAAAGAATGACTATAAAAGGAATTTTTTATAATCTGAAAGAAATTCTAGTCTTATTTCGAAGCGACGAGTTGCTCGTCAGCGAGCAGTGGGGGAGTACGCTTTTTTAGAGTAACCAGGATTTTATCTTCAGCCCTTCTCCAAGTTAGCGGACTTCTTAGGCTAATTACATACTGATCCGTAAGTTCCGGAACAGGTCCAGCCAGCAGATTGTGTGCTGTGCTGGAACTGTTCCGGAACTTACGGATTAGTACGATCCCAGCCTTAGCTGGATAGAAACTTAGCCCTACTTGCATGTAGGTGCACAATGACTAACACTAATTAAGTGACGGTTACGTGAGTCTTCTATAGACCCATCAAACAAAATCCGAATTACATGAGCTTCTTAATTTGATTCGAACATCAAATTTGAATAGCGTGAGTACAACAAGTTCCTACGTGAGAACCGCGATGAATTGTAATTTGCGATTGAGATTACTGACAGTATGACAGAATATGAGTTAATAGGAAAGATGGCATCTTTGTCTCTGTGTAACAATTGCAAAGATTCTGATGACATCTATCTATTGCATATGGTTTAGTGCAACCTCTTCTCTAGATTGTACATGGTTCAAAGCCGGAATTTATCGCTGATAACATATTAGGTTGTAACAGAATTAATGCAGGTTTCCCAACTTTAGAGTTTGAATTGATATAACTTTTTGCAGAATAGCCAATCTGTTTTCAAAAAAAATTGTTGCAATCAGCAGACCTTTGGCTGTTTAGGACGCATTACAATGTCATTCTAGATTCACTGAGAAAAGTTTTTTACCCCGAAGACTGTCAGTATGTAGGTTTCTAGTAAAATCTTCATTTTGAGAAAACATAACTTACTTAACAATGTAGTAGGATGATATAATTCACTCATTATGTAGACAATAGTCGCTTATGCAACAAAGTTAAGCTTAAATTCTACAAAAAAAATTTTGCTAAAAAATATTTGATAAGGGTAATTGCTCACTCTTCTATATTGCTCTAAAAAGGCGAAAAGTGCCGTTTTGCTGCTTTTTGAATTGTCTCGCCATTAAAGAGAAAAGCAGCTTCCGGTTCTACTATCAAATGTCCTGCGCTTATTCGATTGCTTATTATTCGATGTGCAGACACTTGGCAGCTGTAGCTGGTTGATCCTGGAGACAACTCTGCAAATGGTGTACCATTTCACACTGATGGTTATGGCCGTATACAAATGTTAGCGGAGGCAGTTTCTCGTTTTACGAAGTGCTTAGCTTCGTGTTTGCAGCTAGTTTGCATTCGGCTCACAACTAAAACATAGCAAAAGAATTGCAGTGTCCAAGATTTCTGTCTTGCTGAAGCTATAATTATACAACGATACTGATTGTTGGAATGAGCGATAGGCTAAAATGAAATGCTCGCAGCTGTAATATAATTCATATTAGGTTGAATTGAAAGTTTGTTAGCACCATTTCGAAAAGCCGTAAAGATGGTAAAGAATCTGAAAACACCGCAATAAATACTGAAGCACACCAACACAAGATTCATAACATTCTCTTGAGCTGAACAAAATTTATGCTAATCGAGCGTACCTATGACAATTTTTGATATTGGAGAAAACAGAACAAAGAGGTAACATCGTTTTTTTTTCTTTTGCATTTTCCTTCGAAATCGGAAATTTCCACGGGAACTCAGCACAAACTTTGTTCATCTAGAAGAAGAATGTTTTAATAGCTGCGGCAGTTTCAGATTTCAATACAGCGCTTTCAGATTTTTGCCAAATTTGCACAAAATCGGCGGACTTGATTGTTTTTCTTTTTCAATCAACCCCAGCAATCCGCTCATATTGAAGAGCAGCCAAAAACCTTTAGACAATGCATAATTCCTTCTTTGCAACTTTTCGAAAGACATTACGAGTCTTCGAAGATGGTGCGAGAGAAATTTTGTTCGGATTTATTAGTTCACCTGCTTCATACATGACAGCACGGAAGACTATCGGACAACCTAAAACACCAAAAGATGGGAAGCTGATTAGCATATGTAGAACGTCTGTGCACCTAAAACTTCTAAACATCTTCGAATTTCGAAAACATACTGAGTTACTCAGAACGAAAAGGAAGAGATGCTCCTCAATAGCAAAAAGTAGCAGTTAGAAAAACCGTTTTTTCAAGAAGCATTTTCTCACCAAATGTCTAACACATAAGAAGAGTAGTGTATTTGATGTAGTGGTTTCTGTTTTTCTCGCATATTCAGTAATGACGACACACATTTGCGCGCCCATGCAATGGTTGTCATTTATGGCGTGGCTAACTGCACTGGAACGTATACGTAGTGATATCCATGTTAGAAAATCCAAATCTGTGAATGCTTAGATCGATGTTTGCGGCTTTTGATTGTTTACTGAAATTCAAATAATAATATTCAGAACCCAAAGCTTTGGTTGAGTTGAAATAAGTTAAACCGAAAGTTCTGTCGCTTCTGAAGAATTCGTAACTAATCATTATATGAACGTGTTTGCTTAAATTTCATTAGAGAGACAAAATTCTCTACTTTCTAGTAACATCTTCACTGGTTTTTGATAACAAGGGAGTCCACAGATGAGAATTAGAAAAGGAGAACACTCGAAAAACTTCAGATTCTCGAAAATGATTCGTCAAAAATCTGAAACGCTGCAGAAACCTCTAAGACCATGTTTCTCATAGATTTTGTGAGCTGCACTTTTTAGCAGGGCCAACTTTGCGCTGATCGAGCTTTTCTATGAAAAGTCGTGATTTTTGTGAAAAATGTGAAAAACGAATTTGAGTTTTTATCTCTGGAATCTCTCTTCGTTAAAAAGCAGCAAAGCTATTATTGAAATGATTTTTTCTATTTGGAAGTATTTTTTGTAAGAAAACACATTCACATAGGTGGCAGTCACGAAATGTTCAAATTTAAAACGACAGATCATCTGAATAAACCTAATATATAATTTTTAGAGAGTCGAACATGGAACATTATGCGTTTGACTTCTAGCTCTGTTACCTCTCGTAAAGTGTAAGAGAAAAATTGTACAAGGCACCTTGAATGCGGAGATCTTAATCGTTGGCATTATAAACATTATTAGCTGGCCTAGCCTCAACGAGCTAGGCCAGTTAGTAATCTTGCCAATGTGTCACGGACTACACTGGTAAATGACGATTTTAATCTAAATAATTGGAATTTGATTTGTAACAATCCAATAATCTTATTGTGCTTTCGAAAGTTAGTGTCCTCAATAAATCATAACGTGTCATTGTTTTGGGAGTTCGTAAAGTGTCAATGACTCTTACATAAAGCCGTTCTCTGGCATACGCTGAGAAAGTTCCGAATGTGGCTTTGGCTGTTTTTTGCCGTAATGCTTTTTGCCGTAAGTCACTTTATTTCTTCATCTATAGGACAGTGAACTTCTGCCAA